ATAAATGTATGGCTTTGCCCCAGTCATGTTTCCCAGCTTTAGAATGAATGTTATTAGAAAAATAAAGCTTTAAATAAATGGTGACACACTATAATTCTGGTTGGTAAAAAGTAAATGTACCACATGTTACATAATAATAAAATGATCAGTTCAGAAAGAATTTTTCTAATAACAAAACAAAAACCCTCTACTGGAGTTTATAAAAACAGATATACAAGTGAAAAACAACAAAATTTAATTAAAGATATAAAAAGATGTGAAATAATGAAGAAATACATATTGTTCATGAGCTCAGTCAGGTAAACATTTCTGTTATCCCAAAGCAACTTGTGAATCTAATCTAATTCCCTAAAAAATTTCAGTAGGATTTTCCCAGAACTTGACAAAGCTGATTCATTTGAAAGATAAATTGTACAAGTATCACTTTAACAAAGACTTTATACATGGAATGGGCAGAGTATAAAAATGGACAAAATACTTTTGACAAAGCAAAGAATGATGGATCTGCTGCAGCATGTACAAAAACTCCATCAGGATGTGACTAACACTAAAGGGTGCTCTAGCTACAGATCTAGGCAGATGCACCAGTGGGCTTAAGTGAGTTGTCCAGAAATAGGTCCTTGTGTATTTTACCACTTACTAAATTAGCATAGGTGTCAATTCCCAGTTGGCAAATTCAACTGGGAAAGTGCAGACTAATGAATAAATGGCTATCCACTTGGCTAAAAGTGTATATTCCCTGTATCAGATCTTTTATACACACTCAAAATTCATTCTATCTAAAATGAAACCAAATTGCTATGCCAGCTCCACCCCCAGGGCACGCTGAGACAGGGACTGAGACTGGGCGTGGTGGTGCTTGCCTGTAATCCCAGCTCTTAGTAGACTGTAAACAGGCGAATCACTATGAGTCCATCTACTAGTGAGACCCTGAATATCCTGTAGATCCTTCCCTAAAATACAGAAAAAAATATAAATAAATAAATAAAATAAAACCAATTGTAGGGCTGGCCAGATAGCTCAATGGACTAAGGTGCCTGCTTTGGCAGATGCAGGGGCCAGGGTTCAATCTCCATGCCGTGCTAGCCCCACGCCAAGAGCACGCTGAGATGGGGAATGAAACTGGGCATGGTGGTGTGCGCCTGTAATCCCAGGGCTTGGGAGGCTGAAAATAGGAGGATCACTATGAGTCCGATCCAAGTAGTGAGACCCTATAGTCCCTGTACTAAATACATTTTTTAGAAGGAGGAAGGGGGGATGGGGAGGAGGAGAAAGAAAGAAAGAAAGAAAGAAAGAAAGAAAGAAAGAAAGAAAGAAAGAAAGAAAGAAAGAAGAAAGCAATTTCAATGATCTAAATTACTAAAAATCTGGAAGGAAATGCAAGTTTGTAACCATGGGATATACAATCTCAACTCAAACGCTAGAAAAACACAAGAAACCAATAGATTAAAAGTCACTACATCAAGTGGCAAAACATTTCTATAGGAAAAATGACAGACATAGGCCAGGGATATATAGCTCAGCAGCATAGTGCCTTCCTGGCAAGCCTGAGGTGCTGAGTTTGATTCCTAGTTCCACAAAAGAAAATAAACAAACAAATATAAGTACATAGAATATTCTGGGTGGGGACAGTGATAGTAGTAATTTCTTCAGATGTTGGAATTTGGAAGAAGAATCAGGATCACCAGGGAGACTTCATTGTATGTATCAGTAAATTATTTTAATTTCTTTTTCTTTTTTAAAGAACCACATATATTTATTAGGGGAAAGAAAGCGTCTGTCCGAGAGAGGGACCAAAGGGGAACCCGAGTGGGTTGCCGCTTTATTTTAATTTATTATCTATCTTTAAAGTATGCCAAAAATAGGTATAGAGCCTCTCTTATTATAATACTAAAAAGATGGCACAGTAAGTGAGAACATTTAGACCGCAGAGAAGAGAAAAATTACAGAAATTCAAAATATACCAAGGATTCTGACAGTGACAATGGCCCACAGAAAAATGAACAAAAGGTAGTAGAACAAAATCATCACTGAGGTAGAAGAAAATAGATCCAAAAATACTAACATTCTGTAATAACTAGTGATATTCAGTTTTGAAGCAAGTTGCTAATCTTCACAAATCATTCTTATAAATATGTTAAAGTTTGATAATATGAAGTACTGTTGGGAGTGGTAGAATTTGTATCATCCTAAACCATGTGATTATAACTTGGTCTCACCATTTAGGAAAAGAGTTTTGCAGGCACTGTAAAATCTTAAATGTCTATCCATTATGCCCCAGCAATTAATTCTTTTAGCTTCAGTAGAGGACAATCACCCGTAGGCCTTACTTACTGATTTCTTGTGTTTAGGTAGAACTAATTTGAGACATTTCCGTATTCAACTCAGCCACCTTGACTACTGAGTTCAAAATGGTAGAGTTGCTGTTCCAATAAGCAGACTTAACAAATAACTTAGAAGCAGCATAATTTTAACAATGGACATTAATAAAGATAATTACATCCCATTTTGGTATCACTTCAACATGGAAACATATCTTACTCGAGCATTATTTTGTAAAGTAGAAAGTTCTAATTTTTCTTTTTCCTGTCTTTTAAAATTTTTTTTTTTATTTTTTGGTTTCTAGAATTTAAACCAGAATCCCAGGACTCTTTTGCCCAAATTTTATGGCCTGTATTGCATGCAGTCAGGGGGTATCAACATCAGGATCGTGGTGATGAACAACGTCTTGCCGCGCTCAATGCGAATGCACTTCACGTACGACTTGAAAGGCTCCACCTACAAGCGAAGAGCATCCCGAAAGGAGAGGGAGAAATCGAACCCCACGTTTAAGGACTTAGATTTCCTCCAAGACATGCACGAAGGGTTATATTTTGATACGGAAACATACAACGCGCTCATGAAAACACTGCAGAGAGACTGCCGGGTAAGGAAGCATCCTCGCTGTAATTTCCTTTGAAAAGTCATCCGTGATCATATAACATTTGGTAACCACTTATGAAAAGCATAGAAATTAGATATGTTTAAGCTGAACATGTAGAATCCTGTCTTTCCCAGTATCCGTGCTTCCTGGACACAGAAGGAAATGGTGGATGATAAAGGGATTGTCTAGAGTCTAACTTACTTCTCTACTAGTTTTCATACAATCAGCTTTCTTTAATAAAATTAAGCAAGAAAGCTTTGTTTTCTTTTCTTCCTCCCCTACAGGGGAGGCAATTTAATTAGAAGGAAATAAAATTTAGTTTAATGCAGAGATAGCAAGAAAAGCCATATACAAATCTTAGACAAAGTAAGGTTCCAGTTGGGGAGATAAGTTAGGAGAAAATGTACTTATACTTAGTGGGATCAGTAAATGGCTCCCCAGAGAGCTAATGTGAATGCAGAAC